CATGTTTACAAAGCTCTCCAAAATCTACCAAAAGTTTTAAAAAAATAGACATGGCAAATTATTTTTGAGTATTTTTATCCATATTATTAGCCAGATCCAAAACATGGAAAAATTAATGAGTAATCATACCATTCATTTTTGTTTGTCATATTTTCAGGCTCCTTGTAAAAGTACCAGTATTATCACAGCCTACTATAAAAGATTGAATACTTCTCTAATGACTTATCTAAATAATTTTATACTGTGAACCTTTTCATTAAGAAGGCTTTGAAAAGACTGCTGTTCCCTCTGATTTCCCTGAGTGGGTTCCAGAATTATCCATAGCTGTATAAGCAGCATGTCAGATTTAGTCAATTATTTTTCCCTCTTCCATTAAGCCTTGTTTTTTTGGCCTCCCAGCAGAAAGAGAATAAATCTCACTAGTAATAGTTACAGTAGATAGAAAGTCGTCATACCATCCTCAAACTCTTACCACCCTTTGGCATTCTATAGGGTTTTGGTCACTGGTTATGAGCTACAACCAAATCCAGACATTTCCCAAATCAAAATTGTTACTATATGTACATTAAAGTAAATACGATCTTTTGAACTATTTTAATGGGAAAAACAGGACTGACTTTGCCTTTCAGGACTCAGGTGGGAGCACACTGACTCCTGCGATGGCCCTCAGCCTGAGAACATAGAACAGGTACACTCCCACCTTTAACATATATAGCTACTTTATAGCTGAAAAATTACACCAAAGATTTCAAGAGCTGCAAAAGGAAAAGTACTGGCTGTTCAGAGCTTGCATAACAACTCAGAAGAAAAGAGGCAGAGACTTCAGACCCTAATTTTACAGGAGTTGAAGATGCACACATCTGGGAGCCAACTGCTTTCATGGTGATGCTTGCTTTGTCAGAAAACCGTCATGTTTTCCCTTTCTAAACCCTTTCGTGACAAGGAATCACTGATGATCGGGACCGAAAATAGCGCTGGGAGTAAAGAAAGGCTGGTGTAAAGGGTATCTTTTCTATGCTCAGGCATGGATTTCCCAAGCGACAGCAAGCACGTTGCCCACCTCCGTGCACTTCAGCTCCTTGGGGGAGCAATCATGTTTCCCCGCTCCACTGGCTATTTCTGTGATCGTATATTTACACATTAAAAAGTGATGCTGAGAAGCCACACTGACAAGAGCTGTGTTAGCATTCAGTAAAGTTTGCACGCTGAATAATTATAAGATTCTTTGTCACAGTAAATCATTTTATATTAAACTATGGCAACGTCTGTATGCGTAGATGTATTTGGCATATTGATCTAGATCCTGCCCTCGAACAAACCAAAGCTTCTTCTTTAACAGTAACAATAAGCAAAAACAACCGCTGCTTTAGAGATGACAGGAAAGCATTGCTCAACCTTAAAGTTGTCCTGTCTGAGCAGATAAAATTAAGCTGCTTTCACTATTGTCTCTAAGAGCAGCATGCTCCCAGCAGCGGCAGAGCCACACTGTTTTTTCTGTGAAGGACAGAAAAAGGGCCTATGTCTGGTAACAGTCCACGACTCCTCTTTCCAAATTTGCTTACTTCTGTGCTGCATTTCTCCTTTAAATCCTTCCCTTTCTGTTTTGACAGAGAAAGCTCTATTTCAGACCCTGACCTTCCATCCTCCGGTAACCTGCAATTCTCTAAGACCCTCTAACCCACATAAAGTACATCTGCTAAGAATACATTTGATGTCTATTGCTTGCTTATATCTTTTCTTTGTTTGAATCCATCCACCGGCTCTTCCTATATCAAATTTCAGTTTCTTGCCCTTAGTTGCAAGGCCCTTAACAACTGTATCTTTCTAGTCTTGTCTATTACTGCATCTCGACAGAGATGTTGTGAAAATAAACTTAATATTTGTGAAGCACCCAGAAACCATGGTAATGACTGCCGCAGAAAAGCTCATGAGGAAATTAATCATTCTTTTTCCATTGTAGGGCTTGAATACTGTGCTTGTGTGAATAAGGCTTGGTGTCTCACTTCAAATGAAACAGCCAACAGCTAGTGATTAATTCACTAAGTGTCTGTCCCATGCACCAGATGAGGCAGAGGTCTTTAGGAAAAAAAAAACTAGAGACTGAAAGAACTGACATCTGCAACTGAATACATATGTAAAAAAAGCTAAAATTATAAAAACTATATGGGCAACCTTAACTCTGGTATTTCCTAAATGTTGAGTGTTCAACCTTACAGCCTAAAGTTTCTTCAGATTTCTTCTTGTGCCTGCAACGATATGTAATCATCCCGAAAAAGTATCAAAGTAGAGGTAACGGGCAGCATTCCAGGTTAGGACACAGATAACCTGAGGGTGAGATTCAGTTTGAGATTAAGAGGTGTTAATTCAGTTGTGTGACTGTAGGGTACATTTGTGAGCTAGAAACCTGGCTTCTATTATCTGCCATGGGAATTTGGGGAGGGTCAGCAGAGCCAGAGGGACTCACCTCACCTGAGAGCAGGCACTTGGCAGTGGCCAGCTGAAGAGCTCCTTTGGCTGCGCTGGAGTAAATCTCCACTAATTGCAACTGTGCACCTACAGACACCTAGAGCTGTCTGCAGGGGTCCTAATATGACCTTAAAATGTTCGGGACCAAATTCAGAGTCAAATACTGAAACAATAACTGTCTGACTTTGTCCTTCTCACTTTTGCAGTATCACTCTTTTTTTGGATTATAAACCTTCTGGCACACAGTCCTCTCCCTGAGTTCGTGGAGTAGGCTGCATGCAAGGACATGGGCTGACTGGATTATCTGCACCCTACCATGATATGAACATTGGTAATATTAGTGGTAACGATGTCTCCTGTTTTGCTATTTTCTCTTTAAAGTGGTTATCCAGGGTGGGGTTCAGTTGCCTAAACATAGGTGTTTAGGCATCATTTTAGATGCCCTGTAATATCCTGTGTGGCATCTAGCTGCTGCTCCAGGTCTCAGGTCTCCCAGGGATGCTGCCAGCCAGCTCTGACAGATGTATCAGGTCCCCTAGGGCAACTCAAGCAGCACTAGACACCTACGCTTGGGCAGATGAACCCCATCCTCTCAACAAATATCGGAAGGAGGGATAGAGTTGGCATAGAGGCTTCTAATCAGCTGCTATTAATTAATAATCTAGCTTGAAAAGGAGGACTATTCCCCACGCAGAACCTTGGTGATAGCTAAAAGGCTGTTTGAGCAGTTAATTGCTGAGTTCCCCTTACAGGTGCTATCCTGGGGAACTTTCAAACCCTCTTTCCTCACATCTAAAACACACATACCGTAACCTCTTCAGAAGTGCTCTCTGAAGTAAGGATCAGGTGTACCACTAATTACTACGATTTAACAGATTTCTGTCAGCAAGACTGCAGTAAAGAACTCCATGTGTACTCGTGGCCCAGAACTAACATAAGGGAAAACACATTAGCTCAAATCTCTTTTACTGAGGTTTAAGCTAACACCTTTAGTTTGTGCTTGCAGTAGGCTAGTTACTGTGAAACGGCTGATGCATGGCAACTCACAAAGCTGCTCTACCACAATCTTGTTTCTATCTCTTAGCTAACTGTTTGCAAGAGTAAAGCTCTTTGTAATTACCTAAATACTACGCAGATGTCATAATTTAAAGTTTTGGGAACTCCACCATAAATAGAGTTTGCAGGTACTTCACATACACAGTAAAAGTCCATCGGAAAGGAGAGAGAACCAACTGCACTGAAAGGGCTCTCAGTTCCCATTAGCTGCCAGCGTTTTCTGAATTGGCAATATGTAATGATTAAAGTCCTGTATTTCAACCTAGGCATATGTTTCTGGCCTCACTGTTTATTACATCAGTTGAAGTTTCTAATCTTCACGTAGGAAAAAAAGAGTTTATGGACCTTAACTTTACAGGACATAAAACTGTAAGGCAATCAAAGGAACTGAAAATACATCCATGATGGCACTGTAAGTTTTGGCCTGACTTGCAAATTTTTTAACAGTCTAGCAGGCAAAGTGCACTTACCGTTTCCTCCGCTGCTCTCAAAGCACAGTCGGGTGAATAGCCTACAAATCCCACTCTTCCTTTCTTGCATCTCTCACATAGTGCTTTCACGTAGGCACACATGCTCCCCGATCCTCACTGCCAGGGAAACTTGACCTGCTCCTGGCTGCTTCTCCGGCTGGGCTGGTTTCCCATGATACCAGCGACAGTAACCACTGTGACAAGCATCCCTGGTGCAAGACCACCCCACGGTCTCCACACTGCCTGTGAGCGGCGCTTGCCCAAGGACAACGCAGAAAAGTCTGCTCTCCATTTAAGCACGGGTGGTAGCAATCACCCAGCCAGCAGGTTTCCGTAATGTACACATATATGCCTGCAACACCAGTGTCACCGGTTATGAAGCATGATGTGACGTCAACCTCTACACAGTCTGAATGCACCTATATACCATCTTGTGCCTTCATCACCTGCCAGCATGCCGTTGCCCTGTATTGCTCCCACCAAGGCTACATCTTGGGCCATGCAGTACCTGCACATCATTCTGGGTAGCATGCTAAGCCTGCCTAAGGATTTACAGTCACTGAAAAATGTCCAAAACATTATCATACAATGAAACTAGCCAGCCCAGTGCTTTGGGCAAATATCTTAAAATACATACATACTCCTCTGACAGAATCCTGTCCTCAGGATTATTTATTTCATGCTGTTTACATTAGCCATGGAATAAAAGAGGGATAGGAGCAGGGGGACCTCCTCACGCCTAAGGTTAAGTATTGTGCTTCCTCCTGTGCTTGCGTTTGAAATCCTTCCCGCAACAGCACAGTGTCAGTGGGAGAGGTGAAGAGTGATAGAGTGACATGATCCAAAATACGCTGCTGGCTAAAGGTATTTGCCTGGCAGATGTGGGCTCAACTCACTTGCTCTTAAAATTTCAGATATTCCCCTCTCTCACACCTAAGAGAGCACAGTTAAGTTTACAGTTCTGCAGAAAGCAGAAATACATTCAGAATAAGGACACGGACCAGGAAGCTATTTTAGATCCAGTACTTATCATTTACACACCAGTGACATATACAGCATAAAGACGAAATATACAGATTTTCATATATATATATACACAAATCAACACAGTGCACAATTTCAAGTTATGTTACAATTAAGTGTACAAGTTTAAATATGGCTTTATAAACTAGTAGTAATAACAGTGCTAAATTAACATGTCTCATGTAATTTCATAGACAAACAACATAATGCAGCTACAGCATTGAAGTCTTCATGGAGCAACGTGTTGTTTCATTTTACTAGTAAAACCTTGTGCACTGTATACAGCTGGATGTATCCCTTCCCCCTTACCCACACACACAGACTTTATTCCTGCTACACATCCCAGCGGTAAAAACCTGGGGACCTGCATTTTTCAAGTATCCTGAAAAATAAAAACCTGTACATTCTAGGAAAGATTAGTTATAAGAATAAATTAAAAAGTGAGGGAAGAATACACGCAAACACAGCGCCCAGTGAGAATACCGTCACAACAAGTGAAGCTTAAAAAGCACTGTCTTTTAGAGAGTTTAAAAAAACAAGGGTCATATCTTGCTTGTCTTACTCTAGGAAATAGCCCCAATAATGCAAGTTCTTAGGTGAGCATAATTAGACACAGGACTAAGAGATGTGGTAAATTCTGTCACTTGTAACCTCAGTAGGAAACGTTGGCTCTACTGAAGCTTATGGCACTTTTGTCAGTGACTTCAAAGGGGGTAGAATTTATTCGTTCTGTAAAAATTGAATGCCTTTTGAAAGTATATGCTCCAATTCAGCTTTAGGTTGCTGAATTGAATATGGAAATCATTAGATGAAATCCTACAATCGTTCTTATGCACAAGTCAAACTAAATGCCTGTAATGTTCTCCTCTGGCCTTAAAAATTTGTGAGTAGGGCAAACAAGATGCGGTACTACGAGTTTAGCACTGTAGTGACACAATGAACATTTTTCATCAGTTAACACTCCTGTGCTGTACACAGATACCCCATTCATTTTGCACACTCATCAGGAAACTGTAAAAACCTCTGCTGACAGGTACTCCACGTTACCAAGTACAGAAAAAGGATGAAAGAGAAGCCCTCCATGATGACCATCAGGGAGAGGACTGCTCAAAACTGCTGAGACAGAGCTGATTGCTGTTGCCAGTTCTCTCCACCAATGCAAAGCTGTAAAGACTAGGTAGGGTCAGTGGCCTGAAAATTAAATCCCTCCTCCCACCTTCACACAGACCTACGCACGAGGCACTGAGGGTTGGAGAGCACCTTCCCTCCGAAAGGCCACCAACCAAACACGAAGGCCAACGGTACCTCACCAGAGCAGGTTCATCAATAAGCTTGAGGCTGAATTCACTGCAACCCTCTATAAAAAGGTTGACTCCAGAAGGATCCTTTCATTTTCCTTTCCCTTCATCGTAAGCACACGATTCTGTAGGGCAAGGACAGGGTGACAGCACGTTGACTGCCTCAGCCGACAAGGAGCTACTAAAAGGAGTCCCTTCTCTGTCCATTTAGCACTAATGAATACCTGAAGCAAAGCACAGCATACGTGAATACTAGTAGCACTAACAAGCCACTGAAAACCACTGTGGTCATTCAAAGGTATCTTTCATCATCGTTGTCCATGGAAGATTAGACGACATTACTTGGATATTCCTCCACATCGCAGTCGCTGATATGTAGTGGCAAGACTAACACCTATACTACGTCTATTAACTTCCATATCCCAGTTAGCAGGCTGTCCAACGTAATTCTGTGTTTAATGAGCGTTTAGTTTGATCCTATGCCTAACTCATAGTTTTGCAGTATTTGGGGGTGAGGTGGGGAGGTTATGCTAAATAGCTACTTGTCAGAGGACAAATTCAAATTATTATTCAAACATCTAAGGTCAATATCCACTTGAATTCATCTCCTTCAAATTTCACTTGGTGAGCTGCCCTGCATAAATCTGCACATAACACACTTTTCCAGCAGGCAATACTTTGTAAGGCTTAGTATTTGACAGATACAACCCTTTCAATGAAAACAGTATGAAACTGTCATGATTACTTGAGCAGACATCATTGACAAAAGGAAATTTGTGCCTGAACTGCTGCTGCAGAAATATTTCAGGCAGTATTTTTTCAAAGAGAATATAGATCTGGAGAGACATTGCCACGGTTTTAAAGTTCAAAATGTGTGACTTGCAGTGTTATAATTGGAAGGGAACAGTCCTCCAGATCTGAAACATCAGGTTCGGTTTGGTTTTTAAATCAAGCACCACATCTGTAGAGTTTCTGTAAGACCTATACAGTTTGGTTTTTAAATCAATCTGTAGAGTTTCTGTAAGACCTATACGTCCCAGCGTCCGTGTTTTCCCCACTGACTATACTTGGTAACAGTGAGCTCTGCTGACACAGCCAGTGATGCTGATACTGATAAACAAATCCATTTTGACATGCCAAAGTGTTACACAATCAGACACTGCAATTCACATTAAGAAACAAAGCCGACTGTTTTAAATTTAACTTTATTGAAAATGCAGGGCTTTCTTTAAATTCCCATTTGCCAAATGAAGAAAAGACTAATTATCTATCCTCTTAAAATAGCATTATAGAAATAAATTTATTTCTTAGCCTTTGATGGTATTTAAAATGAAGTAACAGGGAGAAACTGCATTAGCTGTTAGCAGTAATGAAGAGAGAGACTCCAGCATGTGAATAAAGCATGGTTCCAATAAGGTTGGTGGAATTATACTTGCAAAACACTAGCCTGAAATCACAGATTCAGACTGTGTCCTTTACTGCGGATCCGTCAGTCAACGACATGACTGCATCCCATAGTAAGTCTCTCTCACGCACACATGCTGCTTCCTCCTGTGCCCATCCAAAGGGTATAAAGTGCCTCTTGCAACATTTTGGGAAGGGGTGGACAGAGCGAAGGAGGTGTGCTGAGCTAGCTTTCCTTCCGTGGGGACTGCCTACAGGGTTCTCCCCAAAACCAGACCAGGAGATTCAGCTGTGACCACAACCAAGCTCAGATCAGGCCGAGATCGTTATCACCCTCCCTGCACACAGTGTTGGGCATGACAGGCTGGGAGGCTCCCTTTCAATACCAAAGGTGAAGCCTCACAGTACGAGCCACCAGAAAAGACCGCAACTGCTGTGCAGGCAGCACACTCAAGCACTGGAAGAAAAGGAGCTGCAGCTCTCAAATATCTCAAAGACATTCAACTCTCAGGACACAGGCCTTTTGAACCCTTTCTAATGTCACTCTGTAATGAGAGTCTGGCCATTTCCAGAGCAGCTGTGGGATGCTCAACCAGAGAGAAATCTTTTGCAATCAATGTCTTCTTAGACCTAATGTCATGGACTCCTTTGCCCTCCAGCTCCAGTTTGAAAAAGCCATTAAAACTTACCAGCCACGCATTCTGCAGTGTGGGGCTGTCCTGGATTTCACCACTACAGGCACCCTATTTCCCAGGCCCTCAGTCAACGTTCTGGCCAGAATCACAAAGATCCTTAAAATGGACTTATTTGCAATTTTGAAGAATAGAGCATCAGATCAAGGGACAGTGAGGGAGGAAAAAAGGATGTTCTCTGACAATTTTCCGTTCTATATAGTCCCTCAGCACTAAGATAACAATCGAGATGATCAAAGGGAAGCAGTGAAGGACTAAGAAAATGTTGCTCTCCTAGTAAAATTTTGGGAAGTTTCCAAAAAAAAAAAGTTTTATTTTTGTTGGAGAAAACTCTTGTCTTCTCTCACTTTCTCCACGTGAGCCAAAACGGTCTACCACTTCTTTTACTGTTGTTTAAGTAAGCCTTTTTTTTTTAAGGTTTTTCGAAAACATTTTGCCACAAACATTTTTCAAAAGAAAAAAGCTTGGATTAAATCCTTTTAAGCACGTCTAACAGTCAATGTTTGGTTTGGACAGGATAAGTGAACCCAAAGATTTCCTACTAAACCTTGACAGTACACTATACATGTTTTCAGAAAAGAGAGACTGCTTTGTAATTTCATACCTAGTTTGAAACATACCCAAACACAAAAATGTAGACTTTTTCCTAGAATAACTGCCACGAGGAGAATGTTATTAGCTTCTTCTCTAAAATAACTTGGGTAATTCCTAAGAAGTGGAAGGCATGTGACATGCTGTAAAATACATTCACCTAACTGATTAATAAATTGAGAAATCTCGGTTGACAATAAAAAGCTGCTTCTGCTTTTGTTATCCTTTTGGATCCTTCATTTTATTTTGTTTCACTTTCTACAACAAAATGTGTTATTGCACTTGTCAGAGTCAAGTTAAGCCTCCACTGAGGCATGCTGATTATTCAAAAATGAGGCAAAAGCAAAAACTCTACATGCAAATGTAACTGTGACCCCACTGCAAACTTTGACATGACGAAATGCCAAACTGAAGTGGTACGTTACCATGGAGGAACGTAGCAATATGATCTGAGCCCAGCCAAATCTCCTACTGCTTAGCAGAGGCCAGGATGGGGTCCACCTCACCTAACCTTTCTTCCTTCCCCCAACCCCTCTATATCACTCTTCTGTGGTATTTCAGTCTCTGGGTTCAGGTACTCACCTGTAGTTAACAACAAAGTTCAATTTCCTCTTCTGTCCAGGGTAATTTCAGAAGATACTTCCCAGGTGGTTACCTCAAAAGACATATTATTAGCTCCTTCAGACAAGGAGTTACTTTTTTCCCCCGTTCCTGGTTGGGAAAACAGCCAACTGACCTGAGGATTCCCTGCGTTCAAAGGGGAGTTCCTGGTTGTCAGGAGCTAGCTAGGAGCTCAAGCTTGTTGTGGTCATTCAGGTTGCGGTTCCTGCTCCTGAAATCCTTTATGCCTTCTACACAAAAACAGTCATTGTATAAAACGCCCTTGGAGCAGAACCCAGAACTCAAGAGTAGATGGCAACTAGATAAGTCTTCACTGGGACACCCAAATCCTTTTTCTGGATCTTGTCTCAGCTCTGAAATTCTCAAAGTAGTAATTATTCTTCATTCAGACTTAATGGTTACACTGGAATCTACTGAAACAGCAAACCCCCTGACTCAAAACTCTGCCCTAAATTATATCAGCCTCAATCCAGAGAAAGCCCATATTCACATTGTTCCAAGCAGCTTTAAAAGCTCCTGACCCCTGTGGCTACACATGCAAAATGAAGGCTTACTTGTGTGTAGACGAGTTGAATAAATGGATCCTCTCTTCTCATATTATTTGCTTTCCTCGGAAACACTGATTTCTGCAAACTCTGAACGCCCTGTGCCTGGAGCACCAGGCATAAAAACGCATGCGCCATAGATGGCCTGAGCACGTGGAGCAAGTCTGACACTCCTGGATCCAAGTCTGAGCTTTTTCTGAACACCCCCATAATGTAGCCATTTGCACTGGATTCAAACAACGCCAGAAACATCAAGTTTTCTGCCTGTGCTGAAGAACTGACTTGCCCAGGCTCTGTGAACGTGCTCTAATGAGACCTACCACAAGCCTACAGCTTTCTCAGTTTTTACTATCTGAAATGCAATTTCAGTAAACATCCCTCACAAGATGTGACAAAGATTTCAAATGATTTTGCTTCTTCCATCTTTCTCCTATTACATTAAAGAAAAAAAATCACGAAGATATAACCATGAGGGAAGGAAAAACCTTTTTAGTAGTCCAGTCACTTGGAATAAAAGACTACAGAACGCTTTTGATTTTTTCACCCTCCTCAACTTTGGGAAGATATCAAGAGGAATATTCTTGACTCAGATTCTCACTCCTCTAGGTTCAGTACTGCATAAGAGCACTGAATCTATCATACAGGTAATTCTGGGAACAAAGTTTCGGGCTACCCACTGAAAAGCATTTCAGATATTGGGGAATAAGATAGTGCCATAACACTGGATTTGCGCTACTTCTATGCCTGCTGCTGCGTGCAGCCATATGGAGTCAAAATCTAGACAAATATACGCAAAAGGGTAAAATTATGTCACTGACTTCCGGTTACCTTGTATTTTGAGATTACACAAACATTGCTGCCAGAGACCGATGGGCCAGCCTAGCAAACTTATAAAGAAAGGATTGCCCTCTGAACTCAAGCTGATCTTTTAGTAATTGAGACTTACTGCTGGCACATATCTGCTGTCAGCAGGGACCTCCAAGCCTGGAAGCAAAACTCTCCCAATGCTGAGAAGGTGGTGAAAGCTCAGCCTTCAAATATAGAGCTTTAAAAGCTCACTTTAATGGATAAACAAACACATGTACATTTTTAAATAAGATTTTCCTGATGTAGATCCCTGATATTCAGAATATCAGGACCCAAATTTTTGTAGCTAACATCTGTCCTGATGTCTGTGATGTTTCATAGGCATTCCAGACCATCACCTCTGCGCTTTCAAGCCCAAGACATAACTTTTTGTGCCCTACTCCCGTGCTTAGTTTGCTGGAAAGAGTCCTAAGTAATTGGATGATATCTTCCTCTTTCATTTTTGATTCTTTTTGCAAGTGATACTCATCCACGACAACAGAGATCACTGATTAGAGCCAAGTTCCAAGGAACTGGGCGGGGAATTTAGGAAACAGAGGCAAACACACACACCTCAGACCGCACCAATTGCGTGCTCTCATTGTAGCAGCCCCCGTGCACGGAACAGGCATGGGCATTCACTGCAGAATTATCCCCTTCTGCTTTCAGAGTCAGCCAGTTCTGTGTTTCCCCCAGAGCAAGCATTTTCCTGTCTAGGAGATACTCCACCAACTGTGAAAAGATCCCTAGAAAAAGGGGTTTTCCCTGAAAGCGCTGAAATTCTTCTGCGTATTTCAAACTCCAGGCTATCAGGACAACCAACAATTTACATTCCAAGGCACTTGTCTGCCATGTCTCTTCCCAGACCCTGTGACACAACCAACATACTATAAAAATTTTACTGAGGGATCCTGATTGATGTAAATTACCAAGAAAGCTACAGTTAAAATATTTTTAAAAGGGCCACTGTCAAAGTTTGCAGGCAAAATATCTGATCTCAGTCGTATGTTCACAAGACCAAAACTATCTTTATTTTCCAAACGCTTTCTTTCTGCTCAAAAATCAACTAGTCCAGGCCAAGCAACACTGGTGTACGTGCTTAACTTCACGTAGGTGAGTAAATCCAGTAGATTTATTCTGGCTTCTAACCTGCATTTAGGGAGACATGAACATGAGGCACATTAGCACCTGTGCAATCATTCTTGATTTAGTTTTCCAGATTCACATACATGCTAATAAAGATGCCTTACGCTCAATTCTGATTACCACTTCAGCACTTGGGAACCCTCACAGACCATGCCATTGACACGGCTGCCTACCACAGCTTGCTCCCAAGCGCTGCTTCTAAGAATTATTGTGTATTATAAAGCCAGTACAATGAAGGACATTCACTGAAGCGCCTTCCTAGCCAGCTCAAAAACACCTGATTGCCTGGGCCAACATCTTGCATTTACGCAGCATCCCACACCTAGAAGCATCCAAAATGGTTTCACAAACTTTATGTGAAGAGCATAAAGCACCCGCTCCTGAGATGCGCCAGACTTTTAGTAATAAACCCCAATTCTTTAGTAGTGTCTGGCCATAGCAGACAATAGACAGTGGCAGGAAGTAAAAACGTAATAATTATTCAAAAACATAGAAGAAATTTAGACGTCTCAGGCAGGCTTTAGCCAACACACTTTCCAAATGAGTGTTTGGGAGACTATACATTAAAAACACATTTTACTCCTGAATAAAAACATCCTAGAATGGAGATTTCAAACTTCTGCAAAGAACAAGAAACATTAAAAAGCTCTCTTCTGTAGCAATGCTTTCCTCCTGCCTTTCTCAACTGTCTCTAAAAGAAGTGGGAGCAGTTCTTTCCTGCATACATTCTGTAATAGGATATGCACCCAGAGTACAGGAGGCCACCAAATAAAATTCTTCCCAAAACTTTGCCCAAATCAATATTGCATCATTATTTCCTTCCAGGGGAGAAGGGCGTGTCAATAGCCCATTTTCCCTTTTTGTCCTCAGCCCATTTCTGTGGAGATAAGATCTCAACATAAACCAGCTTTTAAAAATACTCCACTTCTTGGAGGATTCTCCCACCTGATTCTGGGATCTGTTTTGCAATGGGAGCAAAACAGATTGAGAAGTCCCGTTGCCCTCTGGACCTCCAGTTTGCCCACGTGTGTTTCAAATAATTGTTTACCTTGGTTCCCTCTGAACAGTTACACAAAAAGAAATAAGGCTGAAACAGTCCAGGTAGCATATGATAGCCACATCGAGCACAATGATCTCTTCCAAAATGGTACAAACCTCTTCAGAACCTGGAAGAAAAAATAAATCAGACTGATTCCTAGAAACAGCATGTCTGCAAAGGGGAGATGCTTGTACACATCACTTGCATTGTTCCTGATCTCGGCAGTCATCCATGTCCACATCCGAATCAAAGAGGGAGTGTCCAGTGTAATCTGTGTCAGGGGTATGAGAAATGCTGTTCTCTGTCCCTTCCTCATCAAATGTTTCTGTCCTTGAATAAAAGCTGAAGTCCTGCAAGGGGGAGTGAGTCTTGCTTGCTTCACTGCTTTCCTCGGATTCATATAGAGTGTTATCATCATCATGGTGCCATTCTGGCCAAAATTTCCTCCTTATTCGTTCACAATACATAGCAAGGTTAATCAGTTCACCTGCAACACAACGCAACAGACTCCAGTAAATACATCTAGTCCATAATACTTCAGTTCACTTTCGGATGTCGAAACACATCAAAAACGTTTGGAAATAAATCATGCAGGTTCCTTCCTAAGAGGCATCAGAAATTTTGCTTCAAAAGGCCAAGATCCAGTCAGTTCTCTTACTGGCGCTGCTTAGAACTTTAATGCAACTTAAAATACATATTATTAACTTACACACAATAAGAAGGGTTACACAGAAATGAACACAAATATGCATGTAGCAAAATAACTATTCCAAATTCAACCTTCACAGAAATACTTCAAAAAGAACAAAATTCTAGTATTACAAGTTGTTCAAAATAAAAATTATTGCTCATTTTGCAGGAACTTGATTTCCAAACACAGGATTTTATGCTATATATGCAATTCATTCGTTTACTAAAATACAGTGATTTTGAATAACGTTTTGATTTTGCCACCACCAGATGGCAGCATTGCCCACAAGATAAATTTGGCACTTGTAAAGGTTTTTATGTGGTCACTGGTTCACCTTTTAATATTTCTAGCCCATCTGAGTATACTATGCTTTACATTTACACATTCACTTATGCAAGCGAAAGTGTGCTCAGTGAGAAGAAGTTGTAAAAACTTCAAAGAAGAACAGAATAGTCACAGCACGTGTGTGTGAAACCAGCACTCTTAATATGCCACAGCATGAGCCACTGTATGGGCAGAGTCAAACAAACTGCCTGGGTATTTGCATCCATTATCATCTATTCATCTTGGTCAATAAACATAGTATTCTTTCTTGAAATCCATAGACCCCTGAGAATTTTACCTCCGATTCCCTCAGAGGTCAGAATGAAAAAGGATTGTATAGACAATCACGTCCCCATTAAACAATCTCAAGTACTTTTTACTCATGCAGTGTTTTAACAGTGAGCAAGTCTATGCCTTCAAACTGCTCCTTTAGTAGCAATCTGTTGCACAGAGTAGATCTACAGATTAGATTCATTCCTTTTGTAACTATTTCACGTCCTTCTCCTCCTCCTTAGCTCCTCTCACTTCCCATACTGTGCAATTTTATTCTGAAAAGGGATGCCAAGATGGTTCCACCGGGCTTTCTCACGCTTTTATCACTCCACAAGAAAGGAAAAGAAAAAGAAAAGAAAAAAAAAAAAAGGAAGCATGCTGGTTCCAATTTATGCAAAAACACAGTGACTCCAAAGTCAGCCATTCTTTCCTTGTCCTTTATTTTTAATAACAACAAAGGCTCTAATTCCAATGGGACAGCAGAACCTACAGCTCAAGGAAAGTACTCAGCAGAATCTGGCTCATGGCAGTGCTTCCATCTTCTAATACCTCACCAACATTCATTCCTTAAAGGCATTCAGTCTTTGCTATGTTAAACAGGGAAATGATCAAGTACAGGAATAGAAACAATTATACCACGTAGAACATTAAGGAGAAAACAAACAAGAATTTGATGAGAAAACAACATACGGTATAAACACTAAATCAAAGGCAAGAACAGCCCATGAGGTAGTTCAAGTGCTCCTGCAATCTTCAAATGTCCTTACAAGGTGCTCCAAGTTTAAACACAGCAATGCCACCAAGAGATTTTCAGAGATCATTTAAACTTTCTTACCTTTGATTAGTCTCTCTGGTCTAGTCCCTGGCAGTGTCCACATTGCCTGTGCCAGATGTCCAAAGACAGTGGCATCCACAGTGGAAAGCTTCGGTCCCATAATGTACTTCTTGTCACCTATAAATACAATAGCAAACATTTGTGGAATGGCTGCCATTCTCCCCAGTACAAAACTGGAATTTTCTACATCTTGAACACATCTTTTTACTGAAGTGATTTCGTGAGGATCTTTATGCTCTTTAAGATAACAAGGGTTCAAAGACAGGGACTCAATATGGTTCAAATAGAATATGGTTCAAAATTTGCTTCAAGAATACAGTTCAGAAGCTGTTCCTTGAGGTGAAATCTATTACCGCAGTTTCCCTGTGTCCATCACTTCTATAACTAGGCCAGTTACAGAGCCACTGACCAAATAATCTCCTCTATTCCTCACAATAGGCAAAGGACACACACTGCAGTAGTTCTGTGTTTTAAATCTTCTCTGCAATCAGTAGGTGCTTGAAAGCATGATTTTCTCATCAGAGGTAGACTCAAAATCACTCCCATGTTAAATGCATTGCCGAAAAAAGTTGGTCACCCCGTATCTCTCATGCTTGCTGATCCAGTTTCAGGCCATCACTCTGGCTGCGCTGAAAGCCAACCCAAAGCTTTCCTCTTCCAGTGCTTTTTCAGATCAAAACTGATGTTATCAGTCACACTAGTAGTGAATGCGAAAAAGAGACCTATGTCCTGCTTCTAGATATATTGGCCTAGGCAGGAATGAGCAGCCTGGAGCTTTGAGGAAGTTTGCCAAGGACCTTCTCACATCATACGTTGCTCTGACTATTGTGGCAACGACTCTTCCCTTTCCCTCCCCACAAACTGTTTCCACTTTCAGCCCTAATGCAGGAACAATGCATTTGTGAGAGGCACCAAAATGAGTCCTGGAGAGACTTAGGAGGTAAGTGCCCCACAGACAACAGCAAAGCAGACTTTCCCCACATTATCTGAAAACATCCCACTGTCTTAACTACAAAAATAGAGAACAGGTATTTTACTCTTAGTTCCTCCTAGCCTCGAACAATGTGATTCATCCCACAGTTTTAACCATCTAGAAGACAGGTGTCTTGTTTAAGCATATTTGCTGGGCTTCCCTCTATCATCAGTCAAGTTACTACCTCTTTGATGAAATGGTGGAGTAACCCATGCCCTGGTGGTGTTCATCTCCCTGTGACCTGTCACGGAAATCCAGACAAAGGTATCTAAAATGTGAGCAGCTAAAGCTAGGCAAGATAAATCCCCCGGTAAGGGCCATGATTCAGACAGCTCAAAGACGTGCCTCTGTCAGCAGCACATGAGAGAAATGGTAATTTAGGCTGCCCCACTCACTGGCAGTCCCACAGACCTCCTCCTACATGCAGACCAGAGAGAGGTGGGTGCAACACCCAAGTTACACACCTGCTGCAGACAGCTTCACTCTAGCCTTCTGCCACTCACCACAGGTCTCCAACGCAGGGGCAACTTCATGGCATTTTACCTTACGTAAAGAGTCCCTCAGCAAGCACAAAAAGGAGACTGCCAGCTCATTTCACCTACCACCAGTGCAGCACCCCAGCCTCCAAGCACTGATTTCTAACTAGCAGGAACCAAATAACAGCATTTCATCAGGTATGCAGGTAGGCAAGTGAGAAGAGCCACACGGGAATGTCTTGGTCCACAGGCTACAAGCACATCAGGAGAGACATCTGCCTGTTCTGCATCGCTATGCTGCCCAGCTCTCTGGGGAGCTGACCACCGTGAAAGGTCCCAAGGGGCTACCGCACTACAAATAAATGGATAACTAAATAAGACATGCAAGAAAATTACATCTCAAAGACACCATTTTACCAAAGAAACATTCAGTATAAGTTTACTTCCTAAGCGCAGGCAATAGACCTGGAGCAAAGACCCACACAGGACATAGAAATGAAATATGCTGTATTTTTTCCAGAGGTCAGGTTAGAGGACTGAATTGTTCCTCCCTTGGCCCAAAGTGCTATACACTCTGAAATGTGGCATGTAATTGAATTCTCCAAATCCAGTTATTCCAGCTCTCTAGGACATTCTTCCCCTGTCCAATATAAACCGCCTGCAATTCAGGTGAATTATTAAATGTTAAGGTTATTAAATGGGTTTAGAAAAAATGTCCAGCATTAAAATGCGGCAAATTCCAAAGTACAGTACAACCAAGTCTGTTATCCCTCTGTACTACAGAGGTTAATCTGTACCCACAGCAGAAACTCTAGGTACACAGGGATTCCATGAGTGTAGCCGGTGCCTAAATTTCAGCATTCAGCACCCCAAGAGATATTTAGGGCTCAGCACTTCACTGCTGCACTCCCCGCCTTCCCTTGCACACAGCTATCTCGCAGGTCAATGCGGAGCTGAGATCACTGGAGGCTGGGAACTCAGATACGATTGCCAGCTCCTGGTAAGTTGTGAAGTCAGACAGGCTCTACCACCAAGCGCACAGATGGATGCAACGCAAACTTCATCTTCTTACACGTGAAGCTGGAGATGCATTTGAGCTGGCTTTTCTCCTCACAATCTACCACCAACTTGTTCACAGGCACATTTGTCCAGATCACAGACCGGGACCATGGAGCTAAGCTATTTTCGGGTCCAGCTGAGCTCTGAGACAGCAAAAACCAGCTACTTCTATGCTAGTAAATAAAACAGGACAAGGGCGCAGAATTCAAGCACTAGCCCAGTCGCTCAGACTGTTTATTGCTAACATGCACCGGGTGCAGATTCAGATGGTGTCTAGGCACAGACTGAAGATAACACGTCAGGAGCTGTTCCCAATAACCAGTTTGGGAAGAGCTCCTGTTTTTTGTTGTTGGATTTGGGAGGAGAGAGAAGGAGTTTAAGGCTGCTGGACGCAAGCCAAGCTGGGCCACTCAGTTTCAGGCCAGAGAGTAATTCCTGTCCAGCCTTATTTAGAGGCTATGCACAGATCCCTAGCTGCACTCTCTTTACGGGGAAGGCTAGGAAACATGTTGTGAAGAAATCCAATGAACGCTGCGTGTGGCCACACGCAGGTCAGAGGGCGCTAGTTCAAGCCAACAAGCCCAGCCAGCGCTGCAGCGGACTCACCAGCTCGGGTGCAGCATCAGACCGGCGCACAGAGCCGGGCCGGACCCTGCTCCTGCAGCCGAGCGCCCCGAAAGAAACTCCACTTCCGTCTGCATTGCAGTCCCCAGCGCCCGCGTTTATCTCAGGTCTTGCGTTTTAACTTCACTGACCTAAATATCGTCTAAGGATCTGAAACGCATTGAGCCGGGCATAATAAAGCCCTCTGGGATGGGAGGTGTATTCTTCACTCTGGTTTTACCTTCTCCTATGTGCCTTCTGACAACGCACATCAAAACTCAGATTCAGAACCCTGCCGTGATGCTATACAACTATCAGGTATGAGGTGAATATCATTTTCAAACAATACAAGGAAAATATATTTGCAAGTTAGAGGCTGTAGGATAGAGTGCAAGACGATACCAGTGGGGTAGGGTGGTCCATCACAGAAGGATTAGTTCTAATTCTCATTTTTATAAGAGATGTGGAGGACTTTATTAAGGAAACAGGGACAAGGATGGTTCTTAGAAATGGAAAGGAAAAAAAAAAAAGTGTCTGGGAATGTCAAAATGAATGTCACAAGAGCAGGCAGCTGCCAGGTTATCACTCTCTGGAAGCAGCTCTTGGAATTCAAAAAAGTTATTTGCATACCCACGTGTATTTTTCCTGTTAAAAAATAGGGAGCATTAAATTAATCTGATATGCCTGATGACTGACAGCTGCAGTTTGATATATGCAGCTCCTCTGCGTTATAGACATCCATTTGAAGCTCTTAATATTGCCCCCTAATTAACAGTCAAAATCCCAACTGCTTTCTCTTCTGGGAAAACACATGGGCACGTACACCAGGGAAGGAATCTTGCAAAGATTTTTCTGCCGGCGCTAAGCTGACTCATTGCCACTTCTTAACCCCAGTGAAACAGGAGAGGCTCCAATGAGGCTGTAAGTCACTCATCCAACTTCCAGCCTCCACCCCAGGATATTAACGTGGAAGCCACAGTTATCTAGACACAACCATGAAGAGCTGGCTGGAGAAGACTTTAACATACTGATGTTAGTGGAAAAAAATTAAGGCAGTTACAGATTTGAAAAACGCACCAAAAATCAAAAGAGCAAATACAATGATTCATATAACTGTATGCTGACTAATCTGACATCCATTTCAGACAGGAAGATTAAAAAAAACGCACAAGATACCTATCTAGGAGCAGGGAATGGAGGGCATATCCAGTGAACGGGAGACAGACAGAAACAGTTCTTTCTCCCCCTGCTGTGCTCAACAGATAAAGAAAATACATTACAGAGATACTTGAAGATTTCCACCTACTTTTCCCACCAAAAACAAGACTGAGAGGTAATTTGATTATAGCATTTATCTTCAGGAGACGACAGAGGCCACCCAGGGAGGGGAAGGAAGAACTAGGAGGAGAGCCCACGGACAAATTCCTATTTAAAACAGATTTTGAACAGATTTCAATGTAATTAGCAGCTGTCACCGATTACTAATGAAAGTGGTGGCACCTCCACCTCTTGAAATCTTGAAATCAAAATGGGATGCCTTTTGGAAAGGCACGCTTTAGCCAGAAACAAGACACTGGCCTCCGGACAGAAACTGAACAGTCTGATTCAGAGATCTGTCTAGATGATTTAATGATCCCTTTCAACCTCAGACTGAGCGTCAGTGTAGACTCAAGAGACAGAAGGATGCAGACAAATCTGGGGGCAGACTGAAAAGCAATTATAGAAATGCAAACTCAGTAATGGTTACAAATAGAAAAGGGTTCAGTTCAATTTGTCTTACCCGCATGACTTCTGCAGACCATCTGCTACACAGTGTGGGCTAAGCTAACTCTGAATAGAGCTCTACTCCTTAACTCTACCACACATGCGTGGACCCAGGGAAAGATCAGAAGACTGAGAATGATCAGACTAAGCTACTGAAATTGTCTGTCTTACCTTAGCATGTCATTTCTGCAGCACACAAAAGGCTGATGAATTTGGGTGTGGGAGATGCACTGGACTACACTGACTACTCTAAACAAAAACAAAAAAAAAATCAAAAGCCCTTTAAGAGTGTTCAGGAGTATGCTTCAGTTTTCTCTTGGAGACTACGTATGTTATAGATACACAGATAGGGATCCCTTGGCAGATGGGGATGACTTAAGTGTAGACACATCCACTGCTGCTGAAAATCCCTTAGCTCAGCCTGTCAAGACTGCCCAGCCAGAACCAGTGGGCTCTGCTGAACTTCCAAGTCGTAAGTTGAACCTACTCCAGCTCCCTCACAACCCCATTCCTCTCTGCAATGTTTCTGGGGTTTATCCACATGCTGCCAGCCTCGAACGTGCGACAACTGCAGTCCCACAGCAGAGGGAACCTTGAGTAGGCCAGAACTTTGCAGCAGGTGCCTGCTTTTCTTCCAAGGTGAGCTGCTCCCTCCCTTCCTCCTCCAGGAAGGAGGAGAGGCCCTTAAGCCCCAAAATAGTTTTTATTCAAAGAGGCACCAGCGTAAATAACATTTTTGGTTAGTAGACAAAACGGAGCATGAGAGAGAATTGACACAAAGGGATTGCCAGCAAATTTCCCTTTGCCCACTGCATTCATGCACCATGTTTATTCTTCACCTTGCTCTTGATCCAGCAACTCTGCTGTTTCCCAAGTTTCAGAAAACTCTGCACAGCCCTCTCTAGGGCTTTGTAGATATCTTCTCTTCCAAAACATCACTGAAGTCTGGTAGTGTCTCCTCCTGACCTTTCTCAGCACGCACTCAGTTTCTGCTTTCTGCTGAGCTCTCCTCACCCTTGCTTTCCCCATCCACCCTGTGCTTGTCTGTTTAGAGCATATGCAATCTCCTCCCTCTGTAGCACAGGAACACTGCAGGAACCAGGACAGGGCCATGAGGCATCCTTCCTGCCATCTGCTCAGCCACCCCTTTAGAAGAATCAAAACTGCGAACAAAGCAACTATACAACTACCATCTCTCTTGGTGTCTGGTTTAAGGTTATTCAGTATTTTCTAATCTCTTTGCATATAGGGAGAGACAATCTCAAAGGAAGGGATCACCTTCCCCAAACTACTTCCTTGAAAAACTGATTTTACACAGAAGCATTATGTGGTTAGGGGTTAGCAGGCTGCGAGGTGAGAAGCACAACATAAACAGCTCTGGTACACATTTCAGTCGCAGCTACACAACAGAAAAGAGTTTCATATGATTCTAGCTGAGTGAGGTCAACCTTAAGACTAACTCTAAAGGATCCACCTAAAATAACCAACAAGCCTAAAACCGTCCATTCTGGTAATACAGACCCATCTCTTACCAGCAGCTTTGAATAATGCTGTAACACCAACCAAATACAACACGCTCCAGCTCATAAAAATAACATATGCAAAGGATTTTCAAATGACAGCCTCATAATGATCCATAAAATAGTCATGAGGCCCATTAAGAAAAACGAGATCCCCAGAGTATAAATAAGAGGTTTCATTTTCAGAACTAATACTGCATTTTCCTAAATTCACATAGCAAAATGCCATTCCAAACTCACAGGTCACATTTTGTTCCTCTACATAGAAACATCGAGCGCTTAGCAAAAAAATCAGATGGCACCTTTACCTCTCTAGGAAAGCAATTTAATAACAGGCAAACAGAAAGGAAAGAAACACTGTCCCTGCAAGAATGAAAGCAGCACAGAATTACAGCACTAGGGTGTATTCCACCTATTCACAAAATCTAGATTATTTGTGCACGTGGCAACAAAATGCGAGTTTTCGCGCAGGCTGACAGGAACCATATGCAGTCAATCTAATCATGCAGACAATGGACCGCGAAGAAACAGAATACATGTAATTCATTGTACATTACCCAGAAGGCCTGCTAGGGACCGCATGTCTTTCTCCATCAATGTGTATATCTCTTCCTCAGAGAAGCGGCCAATGCCATGGCCATACATTTCCCGTTTCACAATCCCTTTTGTCAGATGACAGAGAATCCACTTCAGTAAGTCACTAAAGGGGCCATACACCGAAATCATCTTTCGTGTCTCATGGAGATTATGCACCCATTGGCAATACGCTAAAGTCCTGGAAGGATATGAAAATAAGTTATAACAGTGCAATACCCAGACAGCCCATCACCACCTTCAACAGTTCGCACAAGGGTTAGACAGAGAACTTTCTTAATACTTAGTGCTCATTGCTCTGACAGAGAGCTAGTTTCCAGTAAAAAGTAGACCTTGATGGCACTCACACTGTCAATGAGAACTCTAGATACCGCAACCGGTTTTCCAACACTTATTCAGACTGCCTAGTGTTTAGTCTCTCAAGAAGTCATGAGTCCCTTAAGGAAAAAGGAGGTTCACATTGAACTATAAACAGGGCTGCAAACTTTTGCTAAATTACCATAGCAAAATGCTGTGCCAAAAGGATTTATTAGCTGAAGACAGTCAGACGGCACAGACCTGGGCAAGTGGGGACCCTTTCCTGCCGACCTACTCCTCTGGGTTTCTGTACTACTGAAACTTAGCCATGTAGCAACTTTCCCCCAAAATAAATATCCTTTTAACAGTTCAAAAGGACTCTGCTCTCCTCAAAAACTAACAAGGATACAATCTTTATCAAAAAAACCCACACATACAGTTGAAGAGGTGGTTGTTAAATTAGTTATCTCCTGAATGCTTTCACCTCCTGATAAAGATATTGATCTTATGTGGAATACATTTCTAAAGGACTCTGTTGTATTTTAGCTTTACTGAATAGCAAATATATTACTTTGAAAGAACTCTTTATCAAAATTTACTTTGCCAGATAAAATTTTTGTTTCCTTGCATGAATTTTTATTCTTTACTGCTCTAGCCCGGAAAGAAAAAAATGGGTTTGTTGCTGTTACTAGTTAAGAAACTTACGCAAAAAGAACCATTAACTTTTCTAATACGTAATACCTTCTGATAAGAGGCATTATGATGAAATAAAAGACACCATAAAACTTCCGTCACTAATTTCACAGGAAATTGGAAAAAGGGCTAAGAGACCATTAAATCTCAAAGTAGATGAGACAAACATATGAAGCCAACAGGGTCTCATAAATATTGGGAGTTTATAGCAATTATTTCATGATATTTTCAGCAATTTCCAAACTGAAAAATCTAAAAGTGGACTTGCACATTTGAGACAGTATGAAAACAGGCTCACAGAGACAAAATAAAGTGACATTACATAGAAAAGTTGAAATATCAAAAGTTGCAAGTTCACTCATGTAATATCTTTACATTAAACGCTTCAGTTTACAAGATAATACAATCAGAACTCAGTTTTTCCAGTTTTTAATATGATTTTGATTTTATCTCCGTACATATTTCTAATTGCATGTTATCTCCTTAGTGTCTATACTGATCAGCTAACTCAAAAAAGGAAAAACAAAGCAAAATCATCTGGGAAACACCTGTATATTTTTTAGATGCATGTTTTACCATGAACAGAACCTGTATACTATGAACAGAAGCTGAATTCGGCACTCCCATCACAGAACAACTACTTTAACACCATGAAAAAGTTCTAATCTTTTAAGAAGCTGTTTTTACAGATTCTTTACTTGAATTACTATTTACATGAGGTAACAGAAGAATATTGGCCATAACAGTTGGAAAAAAAAAAATCCACTTACAGCTCAAATTTACAATTCTATCAACACAGAGCATAAAAGACATTTTCAATTCTATTAAAAATTGTCTACTGTAGCACAATGTCTTCTACTCAAATTGATTTCTCTAAGTCAGTAATGCTGAGGCATGTGCATGAACAATAAAGAACAAAAATGTGCCTGGGTTTCTGATGGCTTTTATCCTCAACAAAATTCCGGACAACCTCTTGTATCATATGAATATGACAAAAGCATTTCCCTGATGTTTCATACGCTTTGATACAACTCTTTGAATGGAAATGTTTTACATTAGCCTTCTTATTTTTCAAAATGGACAAATCTGCGTAAGTTACTAGGCCAGTATCAGCAAAGTGGAGTTTCAGACAACGCCAAATTTAGAAAGGGGCACCAACATAAAAGGAGGAACGCAGAGCCAGCAGGCATAGGAGTAAACAGGTACTGAAAGACTGGAAACACTAACTTTAGCTAAAGGATGTAGTGCAAGATTGCTGTGTTCCAGGAACAGATATAAAAGGTGACACAGAAACTAAGGAAGACGGAAAGAAAACTGTGCCAAAAGCATATGGGTGTTTGATAATGCAGAACATTTCAGAAGTCTAGGCCTGCAAAAGGACAAAATGCCCTGGACAGATACAACTTTGAACAGGAAGAAAGAATCTAGTCTTGACGCTAATGTCAGGAAATAATTACAACTATTATCTAGATCTGTCTGCTATTATTTATATTACTTTAATAAGCTATAGCAAATCTGTTCTCCAAAAGCACTGCTGTGTGTCTCACTACAAAAACACTCTTTTCCCAGTACGTACGAAATCAGCTTCACTTGGGAATTCTGCAACACAATTTAGTTGCTTTAAGACAACAGGGCTAGCCACAGGGAGGGACAAAAAGAAAAACAAGACAAAACAAAACAAAAAAGAAGGGAGAAGACCCTGCTCTAGTATTTTAGAAAAATCACTACAGTCATAGACAACTAATTCAGCCCTTTAGAGCTGCCACGACTATTGTTCGGCCTGGATCTCACCAGTGAGCTGGCACTGCACCAAGAACAATTAACCATGTCTAGGACAGCTTTAATTTCATGCGACAGGATGAACAAGGTTTCCCACAAAGCCAATTAGTCTGTGCTGAAAGGAAAGAAAAAAAAAAAACAAAAAAAAAAAACCACACACATTTCCCTAGCACTCCCCCTTGCTAGCTCTGGGGCAGAAAGTGTTTGGATGTGGAAGAGGCAGAGACCAGACGAAGCATCTGACAATCTGGATAGCAATGCAGTGAAAGCAGAATGCCACTGGATTTAGGTAATCTTGTCTAGACTAAACTGTCAAACATAGCCTTAGATGTGTGCTTGTCACTTTCAATAAGCAAAGTTGTCACAGGTCCCAAATCTCAAATTTCACATGGGTGAAGAATGCAGCTAACCAAACAACCACTGAGTTCATTCCTAAAAATCTATGGTCCTGAGCACACAAAAGCAAAGAAAAACATAGGGTCAGATTTAAAGATAAAGTTAAAACCACTTTTAAAACTAGCTTTACCAGGTACTTTCTCAAAATAATTAGATTCAAAGGTTGATTAATCTGTGCCTCTCACCAAAAAAATGTTCCTCTGTATTTAATCCCACCCATCATCCCTCCACCCACATTCCCTAAATAGAATATTATCAAAGTTACCAAAAAGTTAGGAAATATCAGAAATCAGGTAGTCTATGTAACCTAATTCAGCCTAATTACATAGTTTACAGTATAGTTAGTAGTTATATGATCACATAATTATTTTAAATATTTGCCTGAACTGAGCATTTTGGGAAACATATTAGCATTTGCATTTGTGCCGGAATATCTGTACAAATCTTACAGTATAAATACCACAGTAACACATTAAAAATAATGCTATAGGGGAGAAGCAAATCTGAAGTATAGATATAACAGCAGCTTTAGCCTCGTTATGTAAATCAGGAGAAGAGATGGAAAAAGTGACTCATCAACAGTGGCTTGCCTGATCATCCCTAAACTGAAGTTGGGGGGGAAAAAAAAAAAAAAAAAAAACAAGGCAAGGGAAAGCTGTTCAGATTGATGTGAACTGGAGGTTATTTTTCCCATCTAAATCCTGTGAAAGGTCGAAGAATGTGGAGCGGAATTTCTAACAAAGTCATTCCACAAGCGGCTGCAGAAACCCTGTCTGCCGTGCCACTCCTTAGAGTAAATGGCTTTTAAGATGGCAGCAGTATTCAACCCTCATCATTGCCAATGACAGGAGAGACAGCACTGTAATAACTGACTTAATATAAATGATGTTTAAATACATCTGTTCAATATATGGCAAGTTTGAATACCCAAAGTCAGATTCACTTATCATATCATGCTTTTCTGTTCACACACTGCACATACCCAGCTTAGACAACAAGGCAGGAGGACCATGTTTACATGGTCCTCTTGAAAGGCAAAACAAGCAATGAATTACACAAATATATGTAAAAATCACTAAGGTTGCATTTGACAGTACAACTAAACCAACCTAATGGGTTAGACTGGTTAAGCTGCATATTCAAAACTTTAGGTTCTCAATAGGCACATGAGTGTTAGTCACTCCGAGATCTCACTCCTAAGATTCAAGTATTAGAAAGCGTTTGCCAGCAACAGCCAGCCCTCCAAGCACTAGAATTTCCAGAAGTTCACCTGGTTTTTAGCGTTCGCAGTGCTAACTAGCCCAGCACGCAAACGTCAGGAGGACTCAGAAATTAGACATCTTCTGGCCTTTCTTACACAGAAAGTCTGATCCCACTAACGTGCTGTGGATACACCGAAAACTTGATACTCGAGCATCCTGAAGGGGGCTGTGTGGTACCCAGCCCACTGAATACTGCAGATAACGAGATGGAAATGACCTAGGTTAAGGCTTCTGCAACTCATATGAGCTCTGAATCCAGATCCAAGACCTTAGGTGAGAAGCCACTACCTGGGCAGCAAAAGCGGTCTGCCCCATCTCTTCCCTGTTTACTTGGCCTAATACCTATTCAGGTTAGCAGGCTTTTTCTTCTGCCTCACCTGAGCATAGAAAAGACCAAATACTTTCGGCGTTCCCCAGGGACAGGAATTCCAGTGTTTGCTCCAAATCACTCGCGCATCCCAGGGATGCGCTCTAACGCCTGGTCACTCACTCTCTTCTTCCCTGACCCCTGCAAGACATTGCAGCCTAACCCCTAAGGGCTCACAGGCTGAGATTCACCACAGCCCTACCTTGCTCTCAACTCCAGCCAGAGCAGCAATTTCTACCTTTAAGAGGTACCAAGCAATTGGAGCTGCTGCTGAAGTTAAGCACTTAACTCAGCTGAAACTGAACATTTCAGCAGGAGAGGCTGAGCACCCACCAGGATTAGCTCCAAACAGAGACAGCACACCACAAGATGTACTTTGCTTCCTCTAATACAGTATTATTTATTTACGTGAAGCTACTTTGCATGCTGCTGGCAGTGAAGCTGTATTAACCATATTTTATATCACTGCCCTTGATTTTTTAACCCTTATTTTGCAGAAAGGCTATCACTGTCACAAGTTCCTCACTGTGGGATCTGTGGACACCATGAACAAACCTAAACTTCTTCTGGAAAGGGGAAAGGCTGAATCACCAACGTGAAGGAACTCCACCATCATGAATGCAGCACTGTCAAGGAAAAAACACAGCCTTAGACAGATGAGGCCTGATTTCGTCTTGGTGTAATTACATGATGGCCAAAGCTACTTTGCTGGAATTGCATCAGTGCACATGTGACACCT